CAGATCCGAAAGGAGACAAGTGGCTGTGTAAATCAATCCCACTCATCTATCGCTCAGAACCTATTTAATATAATTGCCTGGAAATTGATAACATTTTGCTTTCTTGCTCAATTGCAACCATAGTCTTGCTCTGGGTTTTAGACACAGTTATCTGCCCTTGGAGCACTCCTTTACCCCTTTGCTTGTTTCTCAATCAGTGCTTTAACGGTCCTGAAGGATTTGTGTCTTTCACCGTAAGCTGCCGCAAACCTTTCTGGAAGGAAGTGGGGTGTCTCTCTTTTGAATGGCAGTTCAAGATGTTTCCTCATTAAAAACGTAGATCATCTTTGACTTGGAACACTTGTTGAAACAACTTATATGAACTGTTTCAGGATGTTAGTGCATTAGAGTTCTTAAATTAAAAAACAGAATATTTCAGAAAATTAAAAGGCTTTTTTCCCTAGGTGTTCAAGAGTTGCCTTGCTAGTTTGGGCACTTGAGACCTGACCTCTGTTGTTAGCTAAAGACACATCTGCAGAATTCTCATGGCATCCTTGGCATGAAGGCTGGCAAAAGGTGCCAACTGATGCAGATGAAGTGCCTGTTTATCCTGAATCCAGACAACTTCAATCATATCTAACCACAGAATTCATTTGTAAGCACTGTGGAAAGCTAACCAATACAATGACAGATGATAAATCCTGAAGTGCCTTCAGAGCCATTAAGGAGATTGCAGATGGGTGCTACATTTAATTCAGTTAATTCTAGCTTCTGAGACTGGTCGTGTGGAATATGCCTGTCAACAGCTATTTTATCCTTGGTGTCCTACCATGAGCTGAGTAACTCTTTTTGTTTTCCATTTTTGTCCAGTGGGACTTTGTGACCCCAGGGATTAGGTTCCTCCAGCCCAGAAGCAGCAATGGTGTCTTGACCCATCCCCAGGTCACATGGTTTATAGCACACACTGTGCCTCTTGGCTGACCGGCTATGCAGTTGCTCAGCCTCATTCTGAATGAGCCAGGGGTTACTGTATTTCTTATAACTTGCCCTCCAAACTCTGCCCTCTTGTTGAGTTATTTTCAACTCCCTAAAACCACTAGATGTGCATAGGGAGGCACAAACCAAGCAGGGGTCCCTGTTTGTCTCCCTTTTTCTCCCCTAGCACCCAATGACCCGGAGCAAAAGCTTTCAGTTTCTCAGAACTGTTTCCCACGTGCAGGTGATGAATTCTGAAGCACCCCATGAATACGGAGCGCTGTGAATCTGTGAATAGGGTATTGTATCTGGGAGACTGCCACGGAGCAGGGGAAAGTCTGCTGGCCTGGGGATTTCAAGGTGCATTCTGACACCAATGTGATGGAGGACCGTGGGAAAAGGCCCGTCTCCTCTCCAGGCTCGTTTCCCCATGATACCTGCTCATGATACCTGCTCTGGAGGGCGGATGTAAGGGTGTGCTGTGGGGGCCAGGAGGGCCCAGGGGCTGGAATCTCTTGTGCCACCCCTGGGAAAGGGGCAGGAGGTGGGGAGGCTGAGGGAGAGTTTAGGCCAGGGGCAGGGTTGGGTCTCTACTCTGGCAGGGTCGAGGGCTTCTGTGCAGGCAAGTGAAGTCATCAGGGGCCTGGCTGTGCCCTGGTCTTTAGAAGATCAGCAGCAAAAAAGGTGAGAGAGCCCAGGCTGCAGCTGGATGGCAGGAAAAGCAGGGATGGTGTCAAGAGGCCCCGCTTGCCTCCAAAGACCTCCCTGTTTAGGTAATTCCTTTGCTAGAGAGACAGCCTGGACGAGGCCAGGAGAAAGAGATTCAGATGGGATGCACTGTGATGTGGAGGACAGAAGGCTGAAGCTCCTTGGTCTGGGGAGCAAAGGCCTAAGGCAGATGCCAAACACACTTTTAGATGCATTAGGGCTTGTCACAGGGATGAAGGTGCAGAAGCTCTGGCTGGCACAGCAGGTGGGTGTCAAACAGGTAGCCCTTGGGGACAGATACCATGTTCTCTTTTCTCTAGCCCCAGTCCTGAACCAGAGACAGGAAGGTTAACAAATACTTGCAGGATAAGGGGATTTGGACTTGCCACGGTGAGAAAAACTTCCTAATAAGAGTTGCCTGGCTTGGAGATAGTGAGCTCCCTGTCGCTCCATGGCTGCAAGTGTTGAATGGAAACTGGAGGATTACCTGGGGGAGGAGGAGGGAGAAGGCTGTGACTGAGGCCTGGCCACTGCTCCCTCCAGCTCTGGAGGTACGGGGGTCATAGGCCACCCTGAGCAGTTCCACGGGTACTCCCTGGGCTCTCAAGGCATCTCTGTGTTAACTGACCCCAGTGCCTGGGAGAACGGAGGACGCCCAAAGAGGGCAAGTGAGGGGGGTGCCATGGGAGACAGGAAGCCTCAATTCCTGGGGGCTGGGTCACCCCCATGTCGCGCGGAGCAGGCCTGAGCTGGCAGCGGAGGCACCACCCAGCTGAGGAAGGCTCTTTCCCCCCGTTGTCTGTTCTTCTGCTAACTGCAAAGCACGGTGTCAGCAGGCCCCGGGTAAGGGTAATTATGTGATGTAGCAGATGTTTCTGCCGCACGGGTTCCCCAGCTCCCTCATCTCTTCCAGGGCTAAAACTCTCCAGCAAAATCTCAGAGTCTGGAGCCAGATTTATAGTTTTCCCTTCCCCCCATCTCTACACATCACCAAACCAGGTGAGCTGCCCTCTGAGTGGGTCTAATATTAGGTCAGCACAGCAAAGTCCCCTGGCGAATTCCTGTGCTAGGCTACTCTCATCTCCACTAATCCTCACAAAGGCCAGTTACGGACCCCATTTTATGGGCAGGGAAACTGAGGCCCAGAAAGGAGAAGCCACCTGTGCTGGGACACACAGTTAGTGATGGCAGAGCCTGGATATGAAGTGATTTGTCTGACTCAGAGCCTGAGCTGTTAGCCCCACTCACCACTTAGTGCCACATTGGGTGGGGGGTGACGAGACTGAGGGAAGGCGCCTGCTCCTTTCCTACCCCTTGTTGAGGCTGGAATTCCATGTATAATGCTAAACAGCAAGGGGCTATTTCTCATTATCATTAATCTTCTGTTCAACCCCATGAGGTCATCAGGGCAGCTTTATCAAGCCCATTTTACAGGAGAAAACTAGGTCAGGGCTTGCAACTGGCACAGGCAGAACCTGAGCCCAGGTCTGTCTGGCTTCCAGAGTCTGGGTTCTTTCTCCTACCCTACAACTTCTGGTGGACAAGGACCAAGGCTTGCACACAGCCATGCCCAGGGCTGGGCCCAGCCAGCAAAGGGCATCCCTGTGGCTATAGCTACACCTGACCTTCCTCACCCTTCACTTTCCAGGTGCCACCACAGGGGTGAAAAATGCTGCTCTGGGTGTTCTTCCTTGTGATCCTCACCCTCAGCAGCAGCTCCCACTGCTCACCGCCCTCCCTGCCCCTCAGGTAAGCAGTCCTGCCAAGAGGGCCTAGATTCCTGCCACCCCAAGGTCAGCCCTCCCACCCAGTGCAGGGTGGTCCTGGAGATGCAGAATAGAGTCATAAGCTGGCCCCTAGCTGTCTCCTCAGGCAGCCTCCACGGCCCATCCCTGGGAGAGTGGCAGACCCTGAGCTCCAGAGAGGTCACCCAGCTTGGGGTCCCACCCTCTCTGGGGATGAGCAGGGTAAAGGGCAACAGAAGGACCTTATAGAGACATGGTGAGTGCAGCTCCCACTGTCCTTTGCCTGGCGCTGTCACCCAGCCCTTTGACCTCTGACTCCTTCCATGTAGGACACCTCGGTATGCAGATGCCATCTTCACCAACAGCTACCGGAAGGTGCTGGGCCAGCTGTCTGCCCGCAAGCTACTCCAGGACATCATGAGCAGGCAGCAGGGGTAAGCAGAAGTTCCCATTTCTTCCCGTACTTTATAGTAGAGTTTTGAGGGACCAAGTCTGGTAACTTCCCTTGCACAGCAGCTGTCACTTCTTGACTTGCCATAGCAGAAGGGCCCAGTGTCAAACTTCAGCTTACTCCTATTCATTAAATGATCGTTGAACACCTACAGTATGCTTCTGCCCATGCTAGGCTCCAATCGTAATAATACCGATGGACAGTTACCATTCGATCTGGACTGTGCTCTGAGATGTTTACATACACTGGGCACGCAGTAAGCCCTTGGTAGTGTTAGCCATGATTCTTAGTTTCTTACCTGCTCTTTGTGAAAACCCTACAAAATAGGTACATTTCAGCCCATCATAAAGAGCTGTTAGTAGCTTCTAAGGAACACACAACACACCAAAGAGTGGCAGAGCTAAGATCCAAACTGCCTGACTCCACGGCCTGTACATTTTTTAGTTTCTCTTTGGAAAAAATTCCAAAGATACAGAAAAGTTGCAGCAATAGTGCAGTGAACTTCCACATACCCTTCCCTATATTTAATAATTCCTACTATTTCATTGTATTTGCTTCCTATCTATACCTGGGTATAGCTCTATACATACACACACACATGTGCATATTTGTTATTTTGCTGAACCATTTGGGAGTAAACTGCAGGCATCATGACCCTCAGGTACTTCAGCATGTATCTCCTAACACCTAACAAAAGGACATTCTCTTACATAAACACGGTATAATTATTCAAATTTCACCGGTTGTCCCAAAGTGTCCTTTATAACAACTATGTACTTTCCTGATGCAGGACCTAGTCCAGGATGGTCACAGCTTGCGTTTAGTTGTGATGCGTCTCTTGGTCCTTTTAATCTGGAACAGCTCCTCAGACTCTCATGATCATCTTTTATTAGGAAAGGCCAATTATTTATTTATAGAATTTCTCTCCTGTTGGATTTGCCTAGTGGTTCCTCCTGATGAGATTCAGGCCGTGCATTCACAGAAGTGATGTTGTGTCCTTCCCAGTGCATCACAGCAGGAGGCACATGATATCAATCTGCCCCAGCAATGATGATGGTAACTCTGATCACTTGGTTCACATGGTGTCTGCCTCCTGTTAAAAAGTTAATATTTTCCCTTTGTAATTAATCAGTAATCTGTGGGCAGTTATTTTGCAAATGTGTATTTCACAGCCTATCCTCTTCATTACTGTATATACTGCCTTCCTAAATGCTGCTGTGTCTAATGCAGGCGGGTGGAAGAGTTCACACCAGGTATGGGAATAGGCTGCTCTGCTTACTTTGCCCTGGCCTTCCCCAGGCCTCTCCCCACCCCACCTAAGGAGCAACTTCAGTATTTCTCTGTCTAATCTAATAGGGAGAGAAACCAGGAGCAAGGAGCGAAGGTACGGCTTGGCCGTCAGGTGGACAATATGCGGGCAGACCAGAAGCAGATGGCTCTGGAGAGCATCGTGGGGGCCCTGCAGCAGAAGCACAGGTAGGAACATGTGTGTGTATCTCAGGGCCTCAGAGGCTTGCTTCTCTGTGGGTTGCCAAGGAAAGGAAAGAATCTCCTCCTCTCCAGAGGCAGGGGGCTCTGCCAAGCGAACTGGAGACAAGGTCCCTTCTTACACTCAAGATCTGGCAGAAAGGGAGGAAATGAGTGACAGAAACTGGACTTTATCCACTACTGCACCTCCAGTATGTAGCCAGAGGCCCGGTTCAGGGTCAGTGGCCAAAAATAATACTCACTCAATAGGGCCCAGGAACCTAAATTTTAACAAGAGTCCCAGGGGACTCTGATGCAGATGCTCTGAGAGGCATGCCCTGGATCCCCTGCCAAGTTTGCAAAACTATCAAGTCAAAGTCCGGCCCCTCCCAACACCCTCAGGCCAACTAGTGTGTGCAGCCTCCGGAAAGATGGGAATGTCATTCCCCACCTCACTGACCCTCACGTTACCCCTGGGAGTCAGGAAAGACCAGGCATGAGTTGTTTCGTTTTACAGAGGAGGAAAACTGAGGCAAAGAAGGGGCAGCAACTGGCCCCAGGTCACGACCGACAGGCCCAAGACCTGCTTTCTTCCTGCACACGGAGCCCCACTTCACAAAGTTTGCCAAGAATGACACAACCTCTTGGAAAAACTGCTTTATTTTAGAGCCCAATTTCAGAGTGTGAGCACAGATGTGTCCTGGCATGCCTCTGCCAGGCACTTCTGGACCCATCTACTAAGCAAGTCCAGTTCCCAGCAGAGCTCTCCACCTGCTGCCACACCATCTTCCCAACCCGATTAGACACCAAGAGCCCAGAGAGCTCACCAGCTACAGTCCTGTGGAGGTCCAAGCAGCAGCAGGCTGACAGGCAGACTGCCAGAGGGGCAAGAACCAGCCTGGGAAGCAGGATAGACTCCGGGGCCCCTGGCCTGGTTCTGCAGCCATGTCACTGTGCACAGCAAGTAGGCTCTGTGAAAGGAGGAGGTCAGCTCTCATCACCTCAAGGTCCCTAAGGCTAGAATCCTAAGCATAATGCCTCCTCCCTTGCCTTTCATGCTGGAATTAGGTAATCATTCACCTGCTTTGCTGCTCCCCAGGTCCCAGTGGGGTGCACTGGGCCCAAGGAAGGCGAAGCCCTAAGAATGCCAGCTTTGTTCCTCCAGGTTGAAAGCTGGAGGCATCAAGGAGCAGGCAGGAAGGGGCCTGGAGGCTGCCACAGCCATTGTTCCCCCTCCAGCTCAACTCTGGGGGGCCTGGGCAAACATAAAATAAGAATGAGTTCTCACACCATGACAGGACAGAGTAGGGTGATTTGGCAGATGGCACATTTTGCACCTACCACACTTTACGTCCATGTAGCAGCCCTGTAAAGAAACTGAGACGCAGATGTATCTGTGCTCCCAATCCCTGTAAGTCATTCAGTGGCTGTGACATGCCAGACTCTGGGCTGGGGGTATGGCAGTAAACAGCTCAGCAGTGGTCCGGGCTCTCATGGAATTCACAGTGCACCGAGGCAGACGGAAATCAAACAAGTGTTTGTATGGAGGATTATTTAATTTGTGATAAATGGTAAGAATTGTAAGGCGTGTGGTGAATGCATGTGCCGGAAGGAATAACCTCGTCTAACCCTGTCTGGGGATTAGAGGTGGCCTTCTCAAGGGGAAGTGATGGCCCTGGGGTCACAGCGGTAGTGGGTTGGCAGAACTCAGACTAAGACTGAATGAAGCTCACTGGCTGGCATGCGCAAGATCCTTCTCTTCAATTCATGTGCCCCTTTTGGAGCCCAGCCAGCCAGTCCCAACACTGGAATACCCATCACCCTAGATTCAGGTGTCCTCCCCTAATGCACCCTCACTGCAGTCCCCCTAATCGAACTTTATCTTTCTTTCTGCAACAGAAATTCCCAAGGATGAAGATTGCACCTGTGTTTTACGCTACCTGCAGCCAAAACACAAGTGTGTCCCATTAATCCTGTTTAATTTCTGACCCACTTTTTCCTTCACAATACAATAAAATTCCCCCCTCCTGGTCTGCATCTCAATTTTCTTTTATCTTCAGCCTAATTTTTGTGTACGTGTCTTACACTGCTGTATTTCCTGAAGTGATATAACAGGGTATAATTTTAAAAGAACAGCTAACATTTACCAAGCACTCAAGTAGCAGCCAGGCAGCTTCACACATAGACTTTCACATGCTTCTCACCCAGCCTGATGAGAGGAACTGGGATCCTTCTCGTCTCACAGACAGGGAACTGAGGTACAGCAAGCTTAACTGAACAGCCATGGTCACATCCAACAGGTGAGGGAGCTGGGATTCACACATGGGCAGGCCAGCCCGGAACCGGGCTGTAAACCATATTTGTCTACTCTGGGCCAAAGTCATCCTTCACGCACTGGTTACGTGCTCACCTATGGGCAATACCATTTATTCAGTCAACAAATCATTAGAAAGGACCCACTGTGTGCCAGGCACTGTTCCAGGCATGGGGAACAGCGAGCAAACCAAGTCCCTGGACTTCTAGAGCCTATATTCTAGTGGGGGGAAGAATAATAAAAACAAGTAAATATAGAATATGTCAGGTGGTGGCAACTGCAAAGGAAAAAAACGGAAGGGGATGAGGAGTGCTACAGGGAATTATTTTATCCACGGTGATTCTATAGGATGAAGTGCCTTTGAGTAAAGTCCTGAAGGAAGGGAGGGGGTTGGCCTTGTGCATATCTGGATAAAGAACATTCCAAGCACAGTGAAAACCTAACACAGAGGCCTTGAGGCAGGAGTGTGCAGGGAGGAAAAGCAAGGGGGTCAGTGTGGCAAGAACAGAGCAAGGGTGTGAGAAGGAAAGGAGGCTGAGAGGGAGCGGGGCACAGCTCAGGGGACCCCTGGAGGCTGTCTGCGGATCTCACCTTGGTAAGATGGAGCCACTGCAGGGTATGTAGAAGCATGACACGATCTGACTTGCATTTAAAGTCACTCTGAGAAAGGATCAAATGCTGGGTACAGTCTGAGGGTAGAACACATTTGCGAATGGATAGAGGAAAGAGGAGGAAAGAGGAGGAACCAGCAAAGGAGACTGAGAAGGAGGGGACAGCTGAGACAACAGGAAAACTACAAAAGAGGAATCCCGGAGCAAACCATGACAGCAACAATTCTGGTGCTTCATTACCATCACCTGTAAAACTAATGGCGCCTTAAAAGACTTAACTCCTCTGCACAGAGGTGCTTAGAGCTCCCCATGCGTGGGGGCTGGAAAGGGGTCAAGAATGACTCCGAAGTTTTTGGCCTGAGCAACTGGAAGGATGGAGTTGTCTTTAGGAGGCTTGGGGATTGGGGGAGAATTAGTAGTTTGGGTTTGGACTTGTTGAGTCTGAGATGCCTGTTGAAGGTCCAAGTGAGAACGGTGAATAGGCACCTGGATATCCGAGTCTGTGGTGAGGGGAGAGGGTCTGTGCAGCCGAGTGGCGGAGCAGCCATCGCCATTTGGAGGGTCTTTAAAGTTGGGCAGTGGGCCAGATCACCAAGAAAGAACAGAAAGAGCAGAGAAGAGGTCCAAGGACTGACCTCAAGGCATCTGTACATTTAAAGATTGGAGGAAAGAGGAGGAACCAGCAAAGGAGACTGTGAAGGAGACAGTTGAGACAACAGGAAAACTATAAAAGAGGCAACCCGGAAGCCAACAAAAAAAGTATTTCAAGAAGGGAGCGCTCTGCTGTACCAGATGCTGCTGATGGGGCAAGTCAGTTGAGAACTGACCGTGGAAGTGAACGTGCAAACCACTGGTGACCTTGGCAAGAACAAATTGGGTGGAGTGGTGGAGGCAAAAGTTTGACTCAAGTAGGTTCATGAGCAAAAGGCAGGAGAGGAATCAGAGCTGGTGAGCGTGGACCTGGCTGTCCAGTATGATGGCCACTACTGAACATTTGAAATGTGGCTACTACGAACCGAGATGTGCTTTAGGTATAAGACAGACACTGGATTTTAAAGACAGCGTGAAAAAAAGAATATGAAGTATCTCAATAATGTCTTTTACATTGACTACATATCAAAATAATATTTTGGATATATTGGGTTAAGTAAAATATATTAAAATTAATTCCACCCGTTTTACTTTAATTTTTTTGTGGTAACTAGAAAATTTAAAATCACATCTGTGGCTTGCATTATATTAGTGTTGGACAGCACTGGTAGAGATCATTCTTTGGAGAAGTTTTTCTATAGAGGAAAGCAGAGAACTGAAGCCACTGATCAACTTTTTCTATTCATAAGCCATTTCACTTGGGCCAGATAACCTCACACACCACCTACCCTGTGCATGCCTCTTAATAGAATCCCTGGGGATTCTAATCCTGGGGGGAACTGTTCAATGTGAATTGTTCTATGTTTTGATTTGGTAATGGTTACTCCAAGACAGTAAATGCAAAAATGCACTGAGCTGTATGTAGACTTAAGATTTGTGCATTTTAGTAAAAGTAAATTAAGTCTAAAAACTTAAAACAACTGTGAAAAGTCTGGATGGTGGGATCTGTTTTGATTTAAAGTACAGGAAGAAGAGTTGATGGGGACCAGAGAGGCGCAATCCCACTCCATTCATTCTGGAGCTGGGGACACCCAGTGCTGCCCACAAGTCCCAAGGGCTGGCGGCAGGTCTACTGTCTCCCAGCACCAGAACTGTAAAGCCAGCTCTTTCTTCACAGGTTTTAGACCACCTGCTCTCCCTGGAAGCCCCCAGTTTACTCTCCAAGAAAGAATGAGAAGCGTGGGAATGGCTCTGCGGGGTGTCACTGCCATTTCCAACAATGGGGAACAAAAGCCCCCTCCAGAGAAGGGGGCTGGCAGTCCACTTCAACCTAGAGAGGCGGCAGGGGGGAACCCCCAAGGAAGAACAAAGGAGGAGGCTGCTGAATGGTGGCCAGCCCCAGCTCTCCTCCTTCCTCCAGACCCACCTGCTCTCTTTCCTCTGTCTGTCCCGACAAAAGCAAAAACTGAGGGCTCCCTCAACTTCCAATTAGTCTTTCAAATGAAATAATGACCACTGGGACCTGTTGCTACTTCTGGTTTTTGAGGTGAGTGCAATGAAAAAGGTGAAAACCATGACAGCAACAATTCTGGTGCTTCATTACCATTACCTGCAACACTAGTGGTACCTTAAAAGACTTAAAACTCCTCTGCACAGAGGTGCTTAGAGCTCCCCATTCCTGTTGCGGTCCTAGCTAAGACCCAAGCACTATTTCTTTTCCCTAAAAATATGCTCTAATCAATGGGGAACTTAGCACTTTAATAATAATCCCTTTTGTTTGTATTAAAGTTTACAAAGAGGTGTCCCATCCATTATTTCTTTTGCTCCCTCCCACAGTGTTCTGGAAGAGAGGCAGAGCAGGGTGGCCGGCCTCACAGAGGTGAGCAGTCAGTGACTCAGCAAGGTCCTACAGCTCCAAGGGAGCAAAGCTGGGAACTGATTCTTGACTCCAGGCCCCTCAGGAAATGGTATCTGGGGAATCAAGTGAATTAAAACAAAACCAATGTGGACCTGGCTCACACTGTTTACTGGGTTCCTGCTAATAACACACAGGAAACAACAATGATACTATCCACACAAAAATCAGAGCAAACACTGAGTTTAAAGTGGTAAAAACAGATTTCATTCAGGACTAGGGCAACAGGAGAAAAGAGACCTCAGTAAAGAACTGGGCTCAATCCAGAATATATTCTGGCTGAGTGGGGATTTATAGCCACGGATCAGTGGATAGCAACTTACTAAGAGGAAACATCAGTGGTGAGGAGGTTCTGGTTAAATCTACCTTATAAGATTCTTGCTGAAGACAGGCAAGGGTGATCAGACATCACTTACGGGAGGTGGGGGATGGGGAATGGATCAAATATTAAGGTGATCAGAAAAACCAACACTGAGGGTTTTGGTTAAACTGACTTAGCAGGGTTCTTGCTAAAACTGAATTTTATAAAGAAGTGCACGGATGAACTTAGGAAAAGGTTCAAGAGCCTGACTAAAGTATAGTCAAACAAACAATCTTTGCCAGTGGTGAATAATTTGAGCGACAGATCCAGTGGATTTCTTAAATTACAGGAGTTAGGCCTGCTGTCAACTCCAGCCTTCCTAGACCCACTAGGCTACAAGCAAACAGATTCTCCTCTGCAGCTTTACTCTAGAGCTGAAAGCCCTTCAAGAGACCTTACCCAGTAGGGCCAGAAAGACAGCATGTGAAGGGAGTTTCTGCCTCTGCTATATCCCACCTAGAATTCAAGTTACCTAAAATTTGCCATTGGTCCTAAAATAACATCTATCCCTTTTACCATAGCCCTTAATGTAATGGTGGTGGTCCTGGGTACAACTTCAAAAGAGAGTATTCTTAAGATATGTGTGTCCCTCTGAGAATCTAAGATAACAGGTGTAGTCAGCCTCCTTTTAAGACAATCCTTCCCCCTCCGCTACTGCATGTCAAGGCCAAACTTTCAAGGCAAAAGCAGAGGGTACTTCAGATACCAACAGGGCTCCTATGCAGAGAGATGGTGCCCACTGCTGGAGAAGAAAGGATGCTGGTTTTTTCCGGCAATTCTCAGTCCTGTTAGGAAAGGGATGAAATGGACCATGTAAAAAGGCCTGGAGAAACACTCCACACATCACGTCAATAATACTTCCCAACTAAGTCCTCCATTTGTCCCCCGGGGATCCTGCCAGCCCAAAAGTGGCAGAATAAATTCTCAATCAGGCCTTTGTTCCTGTTATTCTCTTTATTCCAAAACAGATTTAATTACAGATTCCAATTTTTTATATACAATACCTGGGTAAGTTTGGAATACTTACAGCATCTTGCTAGGGCAACCAGGCCAAATAAACAGAATATCTGGGCTCACAGGTATCTGCTTTGTGTTGGGGAAATAGAAAAACAACAATGTATAACCACAGTTTTGGCTTTCCTCTTTTTAAATGAAGTTTTCCCATTCCTCTTTTCAAACTGAATTGTTCTTGACTCCTTTCTCAAGATTCATTTCAGCTTTCAGAATTTCATTCCTTCTTCTGGA